GCCTCCAAAAATGACACAGTCTACTGCAAAGAGGGAACCTGCGTTGAACAAGCCCAAATGGGAGAATTATACTGTGCAGTGCATACATGCACAACCAATGGCTGTATGGAGCCAAGGGATGGGAATAGCCATCTGTGCAAAAACTGCTATCAGAAAGTAGAAGAACAAAGAAAGGAAAGAGTAAAGTGTGCAATATTACGATGTAATAACAGAAGGGAGATGGGCAATATCTTTTGCACAACATGCAGGGGATCTTTTTGTGAACAGTGTGGGACAGATAAGGACGTGGGTGACAAATATTGTCGGGGGTGTAAATGTCAAATAGATTCATGCGAAAACAAAAGAGAAGATTATAAAACCTTTTGTAAGGAATGTCAAGAGGACTCAAGAAGGTGTATAACGGAAGACTGCCCTAGGGCAAAGCTAAGTGGAGGAAGCTATTGTGAAAATTGTAGAAGAAGGGATTTGAGAAGATGCCCAGCCCCTTTCTGTACAGAATGGAATCACATAAATAACACTCAGTGCCAACACTGTGGAGCCAAAATAAGACAATGTGAAGAACAGGGATGTGAAAACCTTGTGCTGGAGGACGCGATGTACTGTTGGCCCTGTGAAAAGAATCTACCAGAGTGCATAAGGGAAGGATGCCGAAACTCAGTGCAGCATAGGTCAAATCGGTACTGTGATGTTTGCTTTAATAACATGAGCCCACCAAACACACCATCACCAACAGTTTCTCGAACAGTCAGAATGGGGCAAGGAGCGGGACCTCAACCAAACTTAGCAGGAACTAGTATCCAGGGAATAGGAAGAACTGCCACACCACCACCAAGACAACCGCCTAATTGGCAAACAACAGTCACACAACCACCAGGGGGCCAGCAGGGTGTAGTTGATCCATTCATCACGGTTATTAGGTCATCTTCCCCACCAATTCTACCAATTACACAACCAATTGCAATACCAGTACCCACTACACAACCACAACCACCACCACCACAGCCAATAGCTCCACAACCAATGCCGCCACTAGTACCATTTCCACAGCAACCACCAGTGACTACCCAACAGCAGCAGTTGCCATTACCAATACCACCAGTTACAGTGGCAAGCACTCAACCAACACAACCACCACCAGGGCAACCACCAGTGGGAGGAACGTTTGGGTCCGGGCTGGGGATAGGAGGACCACCACCACCAATATGGACACCACAACCACCAGTACCACCCCCACCAGTACAACAACTCATACAAGGAAACAACCAACCACCACAACCACAACCACAACCAGTGAATAGTGGTAATGGGCCAGTGGGCAACAATAATAGCCAGCCACAACCCCACATATTCGGAGGAGTGCCACCACTGCCACCAAATAATAACAATAATCAACCACCACCACTAAATATTGGAGGGGGATTACCCTTCTTCCCATTACCACCACATGGCAGAGGAGGAGGAGGAGGAACAGGGGGCCCTGGAGGACCAGGGGGACCAGGACCAGGCGGAAGGGGTAGAGGAGGAGCAGGAGGACCAGCACCACCAGCAGGAGATTTAGTTAATGCACTAGTAAACCTGGCAAATAGAATGGATCGCCCAAACAGAGGAGGGGAACAAAGATTAGTAGAGCTACCTAAATTCAATGGAGATATTGATGATCCATACCAATGGTGGAGAAGCTTTAATGAAGCATGTGAGGCAAATAATATTTCTCTGGAAAGAAGACTGCAAATAGTACCAACATGTTTGAAAGGACAGGCTGAAGTCTGGAGGAAGACACCAGGCTTAGTTATTCTAACATGGGATGGATGGCCAGGAACTTATGAAGAGACAGTCAGCTTTAGGAAGCAATTTTTTGACTATTTTAGCACAACACAACATCAACAAAAATGGATGAATGAACTAAGGAATCGACGAATGAAAGAAGGGGAAACTGTGGACGCCTATGCAGGAGCATTAACTGAACTATACATGAAAGCAGACCCATTGGGACAATACCCCGAAAGTGATAAATTACAAGCATTCCTAAATGGACTACCAAGTCAAATAAGAATGTTCACCGAGTTAGCAGTGCCCAGGGGATTCAGAGAGGCTTGGGAACAAGCAAAGAAAGTGGAAAGCACCTTAAGAAAAGATAACCCCTTTAATAATGATAGTCTTCAACACATCAACACATTGGTAGCTACCCAAGTAACACAACTAGGACAGAATGTGAATGCACTAGCCATGGAAATCAGAGAAGGTCGGAAATGTAACCTTTGTAACCAGCCAGGACATGAAGCCATAAACTGTAATCAACGAACCATGAACCAATGGCCAAACAGGAAAAGTAATGAGCAACCAGGGGAATGTTTCCACTGTAATAAAACAGGACATTGGGCAAGGAACTGCCCAGAAAGAAACAAACGAGCAAAATGTTACAATTGTGGAAAAGAAGGCCACATATCAAGTCAATGTAAGTGGCAACCAGTGGCAGTAGTACAAAGACAACAACCGCAAAAACAGGGAAGGAATTACCAGCAAAGAACTAATAACAATCAGCAACAGCCAAGAAGAGTCCTATTGAACCAAGAATACTATGAGGAGCAACAAGAACCACAATATTATACTGGATATCAACCACCAGTATACTATCAAAATCAACAACCCATACAAAACTACCAACAACAATACCTACCACCTCAACCTATACAACAACAGCCACAAACAGATACATTTGGAGCTTTAGCTACAGCTGTGCACCAGCTAACTTCTAAACTCGAAAATTTAAAAGATTAAAAGCACCCCTGAAGGGGCAGGGTGGTGCTTTGGAAGAAAAGAAAGCCCCGGATAAAAAGATAGATGCCATAACCAGCAAAGTCCTCATTGATAATAGAGAAACAGAAGTTATAATCGATACAGGATCAGGACTAAGTGTAATTACAAAACAATATTTAGATAAGTTGGGGAAAAGGATTGATCAAGAATCCTACTCTCAGCTTATAGACGTGAATGGAAATAAAACAAGACCATTGGGAATAGCCAAAGAAATATTGGTAACCCTTGATGGGAAAAGACCAATAAACATAGACATGGTAGTACTAAAAGCAGATAACTACAATGTGATATTAGGAAATAATTGGCTTAAGCAAATAGAAGCCACTATCAACTTTAAAAAGAAAATACTTGAAGCTAAAGAAAATGGCAAAATAATACAACATCCAATCATATTTGAAAAAGAACCGAAGGAAGTAATATTTGAGGGAAATGAGCTATATGAGGATGAAGTATTACAGGAAGAAGCAGCATATTTCGTAGAAGATATGGGAGGGGAATGGAAGGAAACCCCAGTATTGACTATCAAAGGGGAAGCCGACCTAACACATAAACAAGAACAGCAACTGGATAAATTCATAAATGAATACAAAGATAGGTTTGCAGAAGACCTTTTGGAACTAGGACGAATAAAAGACTATGAACATCATATACCTACTACATGTGAATGGCCAATTAAAAATAGACCCTATAGACATGACAGGGAGAAAAGAACATTCATAAGAGAAGAAGTTGAAAGAATGATCAATGCTGGAATTGTCAAAGAATCAAATAGCGCATGGACATCGCCAGTTGTAGTGGTGAAGAAAAAGAATGGCAAATTGAGATTATGTGTGGACTATAGAAAATTGAATGAGAAAACCAAACGAGATGAATATCCACTGCCAATGATAAATGATATATTTGATACAATGGCAGGAGCAAAATGGTTCACCACATTAGATTGTATGAGTGGATATTGGCAAATGAAAGTTGCTGAGGAAGATCAAGAAAAGACAGCTTTTATCACAGAAGATGGATTATACGAATTCACAGTAATGCCATTCGGACTAACCAATGCACCGGCAGCATTCCAAAGAATGATGGACAGAGTTTTTAAGGATTATAAAGGAAAATTCGTGAACGTGTACCTTGATGACATAACCATATACTCAAATACATTTGAAGAACACTTACAACACTTGAGGAAAGTTTTTGATAAATTAAGGGCGGTAGACCTTAAATTAGGAAGAGAAAAATGCGAAGTTGCGAAACCAGAACTACATCTACTGGGGCATATCATTGGAAAAGATGGCAAAAAGCCAGACCCAGCAAAGGTTGAAGTAATTAAGAATTGGCCGACACCAAAAACAGTAAAAGATGTTAGATCATTTCTAGGATTAGCATCCTATTACAGGAAGTTTATGCCTGGATTTTCAAAAGAAGCATTGCCAATGTTTAAACTAATAAAGAAGGATACACCATTTGAATGGACAAAAGACTGCCAGGAGGCATTTGAAAGGCTGAAAAAGCTTTTGACAAAGGAACCTATCCTGAGACATCCAGATTTCAATAAACCATTCATACTTTCAACAGACGGATCCAAGTTTGGATTAGGAGCCATTTTGGCACAAAAAGATGATGAAGGAAGGGTAGGAGTAATTGCTTATGCTAGTAAAACATTAGTAGGAGCACAGCAAAATTACTCAGCATCAGAATTAGAATTACTGGCTGTAAAATGGGCCACAGACCAGTTTCATGTATATTTGCTTGGAAAACCCTTTACCATAATAACAGACCATCAACCGTTAAAATATCAATTCAGTACACTTGCTTTAAATAATCGAATGCAGAAATGGCTAGTACACCTACAACAATACTCGTTTAAAATTGAATATAACCCAGGACGTGCTCAAGGACATGTGGACGCTTTGTCAAGATTACAGACCAACAAGTCTATAAACTGTATAAATAATTAAGAGAGTCTTAAGAAGAGAAAACCAGCACTAATGGATATTCAATTATACGAGTCAATAAAATATTATTTAACAAACCATCGATTACCAAGCAATGTACCAATAGATATTCAACAAACTACACTAAAGAAAATACATGAATTTACACTTAAAAACGATAAATTATTTTGGATTAAGAATGATATGGAAAAGAGGGTTATAAGAAGAAATGAGTTAGAAGAAGTACTATTTAACTTACATGGAAGTCAACTATCAGGACATTTTAATACGGAAGCAACATTTAATAGGGCCAAACAAAATTATTACTGGCCGAGAATGTATAGAGAAGTAGAAAATTATGTGAAGAGTTGTGACACATGCCAAAGGTTGGGAAATAAAAAGAAGTCAAATGAACTCCACCCCATACCGGTTGGACGAGCATTTGAACGGATAGGAATAGATATTGTAGGACCATTATCAATAACATCAAAGGGAAATCGCTATATAATAGTAGCAACAGATTATCTTACTAAATGGCCGGAGGCAAGGGCCATTCAAAATATACAAGCAGAAACAGTCGCTCAATTCATTTATGAAGATATAATTTGTAGGCATGGAACACCAAGTGAATTGTTATCTGATCGAGGAACATCATTTGTTAACAGCACCATAAAAGCACTATGCGAAACAATGGAAATTAATCATGTACTCACTACATCATACCATCCACAGACAAATGGATTGACTGAAAGGTTCAACAAAACATTGTGTGAAACAATTGCTAAATTCGTAATACAGCACAAAGGAGAATGGGACCAATATGTTTCGTCAGCTTTATTAGCTTACCGAACTAAAACACAGAAATCAACAAAGTTTACGCCATTCTTTCTTGTGTATGGGAGACAAGCACAAACACCACTTACACAGAAATTTGGAATGGAAGATAACGATTTAGAACACGATTTAGAAGACCATGTAGATCTGATAACGGAAAGATTACATCATGTACAAGGTATCGCAAAAGAAAACATAAACAAAGCACAAGAAGATCAGAAGGCTAGGTATGATAGGAAAGTGAAACCAAAACAATACCAGATAGGAGAACAAGTTTTATTACGGGAAAGTGCCCACGAAAATGTACATGGAGACAAGTTCAGAGAAAAATGGTCGGGACCTTATCTTATTCACCAAGTATGGAAAAGTGGAAGTTACAAATTGCGCGAGATAGAATCACAAAGAATTCTGAGAACACCAATCAACGGGGATAGATTAAAGAAGTACTGGGCTAGACCGGCCTGGGTACCAGAAATTTTGATTGAATAAATCATGAACAATATTAAAGATCAATAAGGAGTAAACAATGATTTCAACGGCTGAAAATAAACAAAGCCACTTGAACAAAAATTCATTGAAAAGATAAGAAGATATAATATTTGTCAAACGTTACTAAGAAAATGACTCATCAAAGATAAGGGGTTGTAACAAAACAGAGTAACAAGATGAGATGGAAACACGAAAAATCAATTAGTGAAAAATTTCTTATAAAAAGGCAGAAAATTCAACCAAGTGGAAATTAACTTTTCAACTAACAATTGAATAATTAAATGCCTAAAGACCCAAATACCTTAATAACACCTAATAAAAATAAATATTTTATCTACGAAACAGCAAGTCCGAAGAAGACTCACTGCCGTAAAACAATTAATAATTATAATTACCATTCAACATCAACAGAATTTCTTTCAATTCGACCAATTAATCATTGGACAGAAAATAAAAACGATACCAAGTGGGAGTATTATACATTTTTAACAACTCAATTAATATTATCGCTCAGTGAATTTCAAAGAACACAAAATTGGGGAGATTGGAACAACTTTCAAAGAAACCAACACCTGTTGAGAAACCTAATACACAACTCAGTAAATTTGACATATTTTACACCACAAGAAGTCTCTCGGTCGAATGAAATTACAGGACAAGGGAAAGTACCACAAACACAGACGGGAAAGACAACTCAACCAAAATACCAATAAACAAAGGCTTGAACTTCAACAAGTAAATACTAGAATAAGAAACTTAACAAAAGCATATCTAGTACATAAACAACCAACTCAATTTATATTACTTGAAAAATATTGTTTACAAAGAAACCAACTGAGACAAAAATGGAACAAACACAAATGAACTCAATTGTCAAATTCTTGTCAAAGAAAGTACTAGCTGAAAAGCCAGGACCAAAAAGGCAAGTATTATGCGAATTATTGATAGAAGAATTGAATCGAGTATTGGTTACATCAGAGTTAAATACTCAGGAAGATGCCCTGACCGCTACACCAGGCAAAGGAAAGGATAAACAGCCAGTAGCGGAGGAAAATAAAATAATTGCTAGAACACAACAAATTAACCTAGGAGCATCTTCTGAAAAAGAAAATGACCCGGAGGAAGGGGGTTCTAGTAGTAATCAATATCGAACAAACTTAATCATAGGAAGGGTGCAAGTAGAAACAAATTTTGATCCAATGAGAAGATGGGAACCAATTACATTCTTAAATCATAATGATCAGCAACTGCCATGCAAATGTAATAAGACATGGTTGAAACAAAAGGCCCAAGAACATTTTGACTGGGTCAAACCAACAAGAAGAATGAATTACCACTGTTGTAACTGTGGAAGACCAACAGCAAAATCAGACACTCATGATGGATGGAAATGGGGATGTTACCAACTATGTAATTCATGCTTTAAGAATAGATCTTATGACATTACAGAGGAATCATGGTACAATCAACCATGTAGAGTGTGCGACCAATTAATGACTGAAAGAGTCAATATTGGTTGGAACAATGATGTATGCTCGGAAATATGTAAATATGCATACTTGGCAGTAACATCTGCAAACATCTTTGCCCATGTTCCGCAAAAAGTTAGACATTATATAGAAGTTAAGAATTGCAGCGAAGATGAAGAGGAAGTATTAAGAGCTGCAGAAGCTTATTACATTAAATTAAATGGACCCGTAAATGAGGAAGAGTACCACCAAAGATATTATACAAATGAAACATGGCAAGAAGCCTGGAGACGCCTTGAACAAGAATATGAACAACTTGGACATAGAATGGATGCCTACCTCCAGGAGAACTCAGAGGATGAAGAATATATCCAGACTTTAAATCAGGCCTACCTTGGAAATAGAGAAGCCATAATGGAAAAATTACCAAGACTACTAAATTTAAAAGAACACCCAAGACATGCAACTGACAAGATCAATCTTTGTCATGAATGCCTGTTACCATTTAACGAGGAAGACTTAGTGACTGTGGGGAAAAGACTATTGTGCAAATTTATTAAAGAACAAAATGAGGAACCATGTTATCAGGGAGAATTAGAAGAAGAAAAAGAAAATATTAAACCAGAAAATGTAAAACGGTATCTTGAGCGAAGGAACAAGGAATATGCAGGAAAATTTATTATTTATCGCAATAAAAATAAAGAAAAGGCAACTAATGCATGGAAACCTTATACCTGCGAAAGGTGTAATGAGGCAATAATAATCCCACAAATGCGACAAGTCGTTAAATATATATCATGTGATAAATGTTACTTGGATTGGGCAAAAGAATTATATAAGGAGGAAAGAGAGAACGGAACTTTGGAAGAAAGGAGGAAACCACTCACAGGAGGATCCGGTGCTAGACATAGAAGAAACTTAAGAAGACGGGGACGACAATTATAGATGATTTATCATGGGACGATAAATCTTAAGAAGGGGAAGATTGTGAGATTGTAAATAAGGACTGGGGAAGTCCCGAGCATGTCGATCAATCGGAACCAACTTACTGCGGTAGCCACGTGACAATGACATCATTTTCTATTTTTATCTTAATATTTTATGTAACAACTACGCCACATACTGCGTCATGTTACACATTACATCATTTCTATTTTTAACTTATTTTATGACATAATTATTTACTTTTAATTATTAATTCAATTATTTGTAATAGTGACTCATAGGATTAGTCATTATGAGTCATAGCATTAGTAATTAATGATTAGTAAGCTAGTATTACAGAAAATAGGATTAATAAGCATATATTATTGGACAAAATATTGTAAAGGTCATGTTATTTGTAATACCTCAAGAGGTATAAATAGCCTTGGTTTTAGACCAAGTGAGAATCATGATGTTCATGATAGGATAATAATAATAATATTTTTTGTAACAGAAATAATATTGCTAATAAAGACACATAACACTTTTACAATAACTAATTGGACCTCTAATAAAACCCTTTGATAAATCTTTGCTGAAAAGCATACCTCACTTCAAATTAAGACCATACTAACTAAGGGACGCCTTAGTCAGACAGTGGAACATTTATTGATTATTTTTAGGCTTTGCCAGCAGTACTTCCATTAGTACTGTAAAGAGAGATTGCGCAATAGAGAGGCTCTGAGCTGTGTGCCGTAATCAGAGGCCGGAAGTTAAGACTCTGAGCTGTGTGCCGTAATCAGAGGTCGGAATTGAGAACCCTTAGCTGTGTGCGAAGATAGGGAGATTCATACATTAGAACTTTTAGTTTATCTTATATATTTTATTGGACACAACCCGAGCTGTAATTGAATTTACACGCTTGCAATGTGCAAGAAAAAAAATTGAATATGCCTTATTATTATAGCATTTGCAAGTCACAAATATAACCAGCTTATTAGCTCACAGAAGTTACAAAGTTGGATAATTATTTATTAGTTATAATTGTAAATATTCATTATCTTATTGCATTATTAACTATTAGCAAGAGTTATCTCTAAATTATTCCTTCTATTAAGTTGAGTTAAATGATTAATGAATTAGTTTCATTGGTGAGTGAAACATTTTTCTAGTCATTTCTTTTTTTTTAGGTTTATTGGTTTTTTTGATTAAATTGTTCATGATCCCCTTTTGGAAAATTTCTGCTGATTTATAAACAAGATTCTGAAAAGAACAATATTATTATTGAATACATGTAAAGTAAAAAAATACAATATTGACTTTGACTACTACCTGTGCTGTAACTAAAATCTGAAAACAATTTATCAGAGAACCAAATGATTCAGGACCATGCGGTACTTGGAACTGTCCCAGGAGCATCATTCTGTATACCCCATCATAGTTGAGGTCCATTCCATAAAATTTACCATTATAGCCTAAAATAAAATTTAAAGCATCAGATAAAGGAATAATTTTTGTTCTTTGACTATTTAGAATATAAAATCCTTGATTTTAAATGTATAGTATTTTTTGTTTTTTGCAGACTTGTCAAATATATGTAATAATATATAAATAAGTACCAGCAAATTGCAAACCATATACAGAAATATCCTCTATACCATATTCAATAGATAAATCCAGTGATGATTTCATTATTTTACCAATTGTTACTGTGTCAGCTTCTATTGAGATTTTACATGACTTAGGGGGTTTCACTTCACCTATTAATACTTCAATAAACTTTTGTTGATTGGTGGTTTTAAAAACAAAATCTGGTTTGTTGCCAAATAAACATGGATCGAAAGCCCTCTTAGCAATGGTGGATGAAGATGACATCCGATTTGCCCTATAAAATGCAAATTAAGCAACAATAAGTCATTTTTCTATATAATATAAATGTGCATTCGCAACTTACCAGTCAATGCTTATTTTTCCTTCTTGAAAAAAAGGATCTACAATAGGTGTGACATATTTATGCACATGTGTATCTTCAATTTTTTCTTCATTGATAAAGGTAGTTTGAAATTGATTTATTCTATGCAACATCCAATGTTGATATTAGGGGAAAAAACACTTGTGTAAAAAAAAATTTTCTCAAATATGAGATAAATAATGAATCTTACAAATTTTCATAAACTCCAATAATTGATTCATCTAGTTCATCTTTACAAGTGTATTGTCGAAGGAATGTCTTGACTTCTTTTTTTAATTTTAAATGATTTTGTTGTTTACAAGTGATCTATGAAAATACAATAATTATTACAAACTAATAAAAAAAAAAGATAAAATTATATAATATTTACTTTAGATATATTAGTCCAAATTTCGTAGATAGAATCATTTAATTTTACAAATGGATATTCAATACGAATTTGATCATTAATTTTCACCCAACTGTCTGCATTAAGATATTCTTTTAAACCAGCATTATTTTCTTCTTCAATGAGAAATATGTGACTTAATGCACTGCAAATGAAAACAATTAATTCAAAGTATATTATAAACCAAATTAATCAAGTAAAATGTAGAATATACTATGTACAGTTCTTCATGTACTGAAAGAACTTGGCGTTGTGATTTTTCTATTGAATTATTGCGAAATAATTCACTGATAGATGAAATATCCAAGTCATCAACCATCCACTGTTTAGAAAAAATGAAAACAATTAAAAAATAGCAGAATTTTATATAAAAATATGTTCTCTAAATATTTACCCGAATAGAATCTCTGTTTAGATCAAACTCTATTTTCCCCGGCCCAACAAGATAATCAAATTTCTTTAACTTATTAACTATTGTTTCGTCATCATCAGAACTAGTATGTGGTTGATATGATGAACAAGAAGAATTTAATGAATCTGGAGAAATTTGTTCAGTAGGCTATGAGAAGCATAAATTATGATAGGAGAAATGTTAATGTAGTCAGCCTTTACAACTTGTAGCTAAAATACTTATGGGACATACTTCAGGAGTCTCATAACCATCTCCAGATAAATTCTACAGATTTAAAAGAACAATTAGTGAAGATCAAAAAAAAAAAGGAAAAGATTTACTATACATATCATATTCACTTTATTCTCGATATTGACATCAGCATCTCTTTCTGGAACCTGTGATTATAAAGTAATTAAATTTCGTATATTAATCAGCTGAGAATGTTAAGTGCATCAAAGAGGTAAAGTTAGCTTGTCTCTTTACCTTTTGGTTGTCACCTAACAATCGACATCTTTTTCTCCTTATCACACCCAGATGTTTGTTTAATTCATTATCACATTCATGTAAATAGCTAATAAAAAAAAATTCAAGATTGTTAATAACTAGAGTAACGACGAGTGGCGGGCGATAACCACCCACCATCCTTAAAACGCTTACCCAGCGACACCAGAATCATTTTCTTTATTTCTGCTTCTTTTATTTTGACTATACATTGTTTATTTTATGAAATAAAAAAAAAGAAATTTGTTATTTGATCGACGCGTACACATTAATTATTTATCCTATTGGTTTTTTTTTCTGGTAGGACAGACACGAATGATTTTTTTTTTTTTTTTTTGGAAAAACAAAAAACAATTTATTTTTTGACAGAGTCCAAGGTGACAAAACGTGAACGTTGTTGTTTGGTTTGGGTCTCCTAAAGAAAAGGTGTTAAATAACTAACCAGAGGTACTAATTTTTTTTACTTGTATTGATATTTTTGGTTATTATAAATATTTTAATTGGAAATCAAAACACGGAACAGATCATTGCTGGGTAATTACAAGATTTTCATTGATAATAATAATATTTTGCTTTTCGTAATTGTAATAATAATAATACTATTATTATTATTACAATTACAAGATGTCAAGGCAGCATTGACTGTTGAATAAGAAACATTTCAATATGCAATGTTTGATTATCGAAAATTGACAGGCGTTGAAGCACACACACTACCTTGAACACACTACAGTCATTCTCACGTATTCCTCGTGTTCAAAAGGCTAATCTGACCAAGATTTCCATGATGATACAATGATGCTACTGAATTCCAGGGGGGGGGGCGCATGGCCCTGAAGTTTATCATGATTGCATCAATCGTCAAAGACACTTTCACTAATCTTCCCAGACCAGAGAAGGCTGACAAGTTGCCTGCAACGATCTCACCTCTAGGGTAAGGATGGCTCTGTGACCAAGTTGCAACTCTGGAGGAATATTAAGAGAATCTGCAGCTTGTTTCAAGCACAGGAGGTCACAATCCAGAACAGGGTTGGTGGCCCTGAAATTGCATCTGGACTCTGATGTTAAGAGGAAAGTTGTAAAATAGTGTTTTTTTTGTATAATCATTTTCCTAAATTCTCTGTTTCTCTGATTCTAACCAATTTAATAATTTTGGGTAGGGGACTGGGATGGGTTTCTGCCCAATCAGTCCACCTGTCCTGTAGGTTAAAATTATCACATGATTATATACATCTTTGTCAGCAATATGGCCAACAAGAAAAAGTCATAAAATGGTTTGGATT